AAGTCAGTTATCAGATCAGTATTGGCCAATATGGCTGGTTAATAATTGGCTATCAGTATCAACCAAGACAAATTTTTGGTGCACCCATACTTAGGAAGGAATAATCCCATGCACCAGTACAGGCTGAGGGCCCACTGGCTAAGCAGCAACTCTGCAGAAAAGGACCTGGGGGTAACAGTGGACAGTAAGATGGCTATAAGCCAAGTGTGCCCTTGTTGCCAAGCAGGCTAACAGCATACTGGGATGCATTAGCAGGAGCACTGCCAACAGATTAAAGGGAAGTAATTATTCTGCATGGGTGAGGCCACATCTGGAGTACTGTGTCTAGTTCCTCCCCACTATAAAAAGGATGTGGACAAGTTGGAGAGAACCCAGAGGGAGCAACAAAAACGTAACTAAATTAGGGGGTTGGGGCACATAACTTGAGAGGCTGAGGGAACTGGGCTCATCTAGTTTGGAGAAGAGAAGACTAAGGGAGGATTTGATAGCAACCTTCAGTTACATGAAGGGTGGTTCCAAAGAAGATAGATCCAGACTGTTCTCAGTGGTGATGGATGACAGAAAAAGGAACAATGGTCTCAAGTTGCAACAAGGGAAGTTTAGGTTGAATATTAGGAAAAAAATTCTCTCACTAGGAGGGTAGCGAAGCACTGGAACAAGTCTGCTAGAGAGGTGGTGGAATCTCCATCCTTGGAGGTTTTTAAGGCCCAGCTTGACAAAGCCCTGGCTGGAGTGATCTAGTTGGGGGATGGTCCCACTTTGAGCAGGGGGTTAGACTAGATGACCTCCTGAGGTCCCTTCCAACCCTAATTTTCTATGATTCTGAAAAGGGAAAAAAAAAATACACATATTAAAAACAAGAACAAATTTTGCTGTTATGTTATCCCCAGGAAACTCTCTTACAGACTAGCAGCCCAAGGACTGAGCAGCTACGCAAGATCAGGAAAAATCATGAATTCAAAACCGGGTTTAGTAGAGATCATTTGTATTTGTTATGGGATCCTTTTGAGAGGATTTTGTTTAAAAGTAAATGGCTGTTAGTATGCTGCACTGAGAAAAGGATTAACATAGAATTCTGCAACCAACATACTTCAGTAAGTATTCCTTATTTTCTAAGAGAGTCTAATTCAGTGTTGGATATTTCACTCCAGTAGGCAAGAGATAATTGGAAGTTGGTCACAAAAACTGGAGGAAGAAAGTATCTGTGTGAATCTCTCTCAGGTAACTCCTCACATCTCTAAATACTAGCTTTTTGCTAAATTTACAATAAGAAATTCAAACTATTCAAGCATTTCACAAGCCAGGGAAAAGCAGATCATGTAACTAGTAGAAGCTCTAGAGTTCCATTTCTTTCAAATCAGAGTCCTGATAAAAATTTTTCCTACCCCACTATGCCCAACTGTTTATCTTCTTCACATCAGCTGAGTAAGCTGGCACAGCTAGTCACAGTATCAGCTACTGCCTTGGTTTATTATTTTAGAAGAGTTTCTGCCCTTCTTGTTTCTTTCCCTTGAGACAAACTTACCCACAGGTCTTAAAACCAATTAATGCAGTCTAAAGCTGCAGAGGCTTCATAATTAAAGCAGAAGACTACTTCAAAAGGCCCAAGACTGAAGCTGTGGAGGTCCTCCTCCTCTTGATTTTGCTTTTTCCTGATGGAGATCACCATCAGCCATGGTTAACCACATACAAAGCAGAAATCAAAAATGAGAGAAGAAAGGGCAAAAGCCCTTGAAAAAACTGAAGAATTGGGATGATCCAGGATTTACCTTGCCCATAAGCACAAGACAGAATAAATAAGAACAGCACTTGTATTCCTGACGAGCAAGAATTTTTCCCTTATGCTGACAATTCCAACCTAAATATTCTACTTCCTCCTAACTATGCTTTTGTCTCTCTCCAGGCTCCCCTTAAAAGGAATCCTAAATCTGGTTCAAACCATCCCCCTTCTAGTATTCAAATCCCTCATGTTCACCACTTCCATGAAGCCTACAGGAAGAGTTATTTTCTCCCTCTATTTCAGTCAGTCTTCTCACTATCTTCCCTGTAGATTCAAGTATCAGGAGCTACAGACTAGGATTCAGATTCACCAATAAAAGTCATATGCTTATCATCTGCAACCCACTTAATTCATGGTCAGTTGCTGAGTCGAGGACACATCTATGCAGCTGTTCAAATGGGGCTTTTAATTCTATGGTTGCTGCTTTTTCCACCAAGTTGGAGCTTCTCAACTGTCCTATACAGCTGCCTGCTGCAGAACAAACCCTGCAAGTGATTTAAGTTCTAATGTATTTGCCCAAAGCTGCCTACATCACTGCTACTTAAGCTATCAACATATCAAAAGCTAGTGCAAATAAAAAGGTTAGCGAGAGAATGCATTGGGCACTTTCTGGACTTCCACCTGGAGATGAAGGAAGGTCTGTATTGGTACAATATGCAAGTAGAAAACCTTGGGTTTTTTTTTTTTTTGTTTTGTTTTTTTTAAACGAATGTCTTTTCCAGAGATACCCATCAAGAACAATGGGCAATGTGAAAAGCTGTATTTCTTTATATTGTCTCCACCTCATATCTCATCTCTGAGCACTCAGAGGACATCTATACAACCCACTGCAAGGCAGAAGTGTTCTCATCTTTATGATCAACTTTGGTCCCCTCATGATGTTGTATTTAAAAGCCCAACAAAAACTATTCAACATTAAAACCCTGTTTTTATGCCAAGACTCAGTTTTCTTAGCCTGTTCACACCCCTTCTGAATAACAGAGAAATTCAAACCCTCTACCCACCCACATCTGGTCAGGATACCACCACCTTTTTAAACACTCCATTTTGCTCTACCTTGCATTCAGTAACCTACTTAGCTGCTGTTATCTAAGGTATTTCCACTCAACAACTATGGAAAGTGCACCTGACAGCACAGTAGCCAAAAGCAAAAATAGGAAGCAGTAAACTATTAACTTACAATGACTCCATAAATATTTATAGTCTGGAATGGCAGTGAAACCATGAAGTTTCTAGCATCTGTACCCCAAGTTCATTCATTTTAGAGAAGAGCATCAAATTAACTTTCAAAGACCAAAACATATTTCTATCGTTTCAGAAAATATCCTTAAATCTTTGAATATTACTTTGTATTGTATTCTGGCAAAACCAGGTAACGAGGTATTGCATCAAAGATGAGCTTTAAAAGATCTTATTTTTAATAGTGCATTACATTCCATTGGCAATTTTCCTTTGAGCACTGTTTATGCACTTCTAAAATTTTCTTAAATTGGACTTTCATATTCCCGTCAAAAGAGTCAGCTTGCTTTTTTCCCCCCCCATGTTTGCACTGTATGATGCTGTCCAGTTTGTAATCCTCTGTTAACTGTGGCACAGCTTTAGAATCGGCAGAGGGGGGTATGGGAAGACTTACACTGGTCACTCGACGGTAGATCTGCGCGGCATTTTGGCACTCAGAATAAGGATATTCAGACGTGGCCATCTCTAGCATACACATTCCAAAAGCATATACATCAACGGATTCATCGTATTTCTCCTCATACATCTCGGGAGCCATGAACTCTGGGGTACCTTAAATTAAAAGAACGATTCAGACTCTAAATGTCTCAAAGCGAGTAGAGGCTGCTGGCGTTACTCACCGCAGAAGGCAGCGGATGGGCAGACCTGTGAGAGAAGAGAAAGTGGAGGCAAAAAGAAGAGGGAGGAAACCCTTAGTCAGTCTGTTGCATCAATATGCCCCTTGAGTCTCCCATTGCAAGGCCTTTATAAGGAGAAAACAGGGTGAGTGGCAGTATGCTTTTGCCGCTTTGTGAAAACTGCTAAATGTAGGGGCCAAAAACAGAAAAATTCAGTTAAAAGAATTGGCTGAGGAGATAAAGATCTAGTTGAAACAACTGAAGGAAAAAAAAACACCAAAACAACAAACTTAAGACTAGCCTTAGGCTGCAAACCTAGTACTCGGGAGAGAGAGTTAGACACTTACCTTTCCTCCCTGTTAGAAAGGAGGCATATTGAAGTGTTTCAACACAACCAACTGCCCTCTGCTGCAAAAAAGTAGTACTGGTAAGAGCCCATAGCTAGTCTCTGACCTATAAGACTTCATACAGGTTAGGTTGTTTTTTGTTTGTTTTTGAAGTGCAGCTATTCAGAAAAGGCCTTGCAATGAAAAACCCAGTTACTACAGATAAAAAGCTTTGTAAGGAATGAATAAATATAATTTTCTGCGAAGGCCACTCACCAGAGCCCTTTTCTTCACATACTTACCTTCTCACCTGCAGTATATTTAAAGGCCTACTGCAGATACAGGAAATAGTGAGGGATATCCTACAGGCAAAAAAATACTTAGAAATACAGAGAGATTGAGTTACAGACAGAGCGTGAGATTTAACAAGTCCCATTTAAATAGTTTGCAGAAGATGCATTGCCCCTGAAGCCTCAATCACAACAGCCCCTCTGAATGAGGGAACTGCAGCGTACGATCAGGTTTCTTTCAAGCTATAGGTGCAAGATTCTTTTACTTAAAAAGAGTTATTTCCTGCAAACAAGCCAGATTTAAGCCAATTTACAGATCAAATCAGCCTAACCACACTGCTCCTTCCTCTTCCCTCAGAATCCAAAAGTTAGTATTTGGTGAACTGGTTATAATTATGAGCAAGTACACTAAGATGATTTTCAAATTAGAAGTCTGGAAAAGGATGTGTTTAAGGAAATATAAAATATATTTCCATTGCATACTTTCAACTTCTATAATTGTTTTTAACCTGGTTAGGAAGCAGGAAATATTTTAGTGACAAAGTGCAAGAAATTTGCAAGAGGGTATCTCTAATAAAACTTTGAGAAAACAGGTATAGGGCTTGAGCAATACTAGCTTGCTGTATGTTAATAAATTGTAGTGTTGAGCTTGAACAAAAAAAAAAAAAAAAAGAGCACTTTGCTCCATGATTAGTCTGCACTGTATTCAGACTGTTAGAACAGAGCTGATAAAACAAGTTCTTTAAAATAATCTAAAATGTGTCCCCAATCTCAAATTAGCTCATAAATGAAATAGGGAGCTTTACAATGTCACAGGTGACAATCCAACAGATTCTGATACATGACCAAAAGTGTTAAACTATAAAGTCAGAAGCACTGTACAATAGTTACAAAGGATAATTTGTTACCAAAACCCTTTGTATACATCTAGTACACAAATGGGCCACTCATTTTCCAATTTAATTCCATTTTACTCCCTAGTATAAAGCTGATAAAGTGGTTTTATCAACAGAGTTCAACCAAAACCTCAGGGGCAAGGTAATAAATCAAATATACCAAAGATTATATCCATATTAGAAGCAAACATAATCCTATAAAACCATTAAACCTGCAAAACAAGGCCCATAATTCAAGAGCAAGACCTGCACTTTTGGGGCTCAGACAACATATATGAAGTGTACTTTATTTTACTAGAAGGGTCAAGTTTCCAAGTAGACTGACTGGGCTTGCCAGCCTACAAAACAATAAAAGCTTACCTATTACACTCTTGGCAAAGGAAGCTCGTTTCAAGGTTGCCAGACCCAGGTCTCCTATCTTGACTGATCCAGTGGGGCCAGTGATGAAGATGTTGTCACATTTTAGGTCTCTGTGGATAATAGGGGGCGTGCGAGTGTGCAGGAACTGCAAGCCCTTTAGTATCTGACGGCACCAGCTTCTTAGTACTTTAATTTTCATCACTTTAAACCTTTTCAAATACCTGAGGGGGGGAAAAAAGTTGCAAAATAAGATCATGGACGTTTCAGAAGTCATTAGGCTTTGCCGACTAAATAATATGTATAGACTAGTGTGGATCAACTTTTCTGGCAGGTGTACTACAAATTAGCCCCTAACCCTCTGAGTGCCACTGATTCCCTTCCCCTCCCCAAATTTTCTGCTTTGTTTTCTGCTTCCTGCCTGATCTGATGCTCTCCTCTGCCCTGTTACCATGCTGCCAGTCCCTTCTCTGATCTACGTGTGCCACACATAGGAGCTACACATACCACTTGTGACACCCAAGCCGCAGGCTGACCAGCTCTGGTATAGACAATCAAACCTGTAATACTAATTGACTACCATTTCCTTACAGCCCGTTTATTACATTCAAGAGAGCAAGTCCCACTCCAAGTTTCTGTTCCACTACAGAGTATCAGTCTCCAGAGGGGAAAGTGGTGGCAATGTCACAGCTCTAAGTACACCATGAGAATAAACAGTGATTTTTTAAATATGCACAAATCAAAAGAAAGTGACTCTCTCAAGCCCTCTTTTTTTTTTTTTTTTTTTTTCTCTATGAAGAGTAGACTGTGATAGGTATGACTCAAAGTTCTATGCTGTTTTTGGACTACTGTCCTGCTCTGGTCTTGCCGGCCAACACCAGGCTAATCAACTGCCTGCAGTTTTTTTTTTGTTTTTTTTTTAAGAAGTGAAAAAATACTGATTAAAACAAAATTAAAGTCTCCACATCATGTTGTGCTTAATCTGCCTGTATAGTACAAGCTTGGATATGGCTTTAAAACAAGCTGGCCCCAAGGCATCTTAATAGTCCTGAAAGCCAGGTTGGCATATGCATCTACTGTTACCTAGGATAAACTGTTCATTAGCTATGGGAAGAAATGGAATACCAGCTTCACAGTTCTCAGCAATTCATTAAAACATAGCTTTATGCAGGCCTGAAAGTGAGACTTGCTGTTACAAATTTTGTTCCTAATTCTAAAACACTTCCTCTACAATTACCGATTCAAAACCCGTCATCTTCCATAATGTCCTACATTCTCATTTAACAGTCATCTTTCATCTTAAAGAATATAATCTCCTTCAGTGCTTAATCTTATATACAATGTCTTTTCATGTATGCAAAGAAAAAAAGTTAGAAAATATAAATTATTCTGAAAAGAGTATTGTGGCATAGTGCAATGACAACAGCTACAAAGCCAAAATAACAACCACTCCAATACTCAAAATTCATCCAAGCAGCTCAACCAGGGATGCAAGGTTTAATTCAAGCTTATCTCTATTTGAATCATTAACGTTTTTAAAGCATACAGAACCTCTCAATGATCACTTGATAACTGCAAGCCAGGGTTCGATCACTTGAACTCACTCTTTATACCAAGTGTGGAAGATGGAAAGGTAAGAGGCCTCTATCCCTACAAAAGCATTTGTGTAGAAGATCCAGGTAAACCAACACCACATCACAAGCTGAATCAGCAAGCCTGATGTGAATAATTCTCTTTCCGCCTCATTGCCATTTGAAATTTATGGTCAGAAAAAAAGTCCAAGATACAAGATTCAGTCCAGAGATTAAACCTTTTTCTACACTTGTCAGTGGGCTGGCTCTCTGATACAACTAAGGGTACTAGCACAGTGCCCACTTCTACTCTAGTGAACAGAGATTCTTCTGGGAGTGGGATACAGAAGGAAGGGACAGATTGAGGCCCCCAAAGTGAGGGAGGGGAGTGGGGCAGGGGCAGAGGCTGCCCAGCCAGGGCAATGAATAGGACCTCAGAGCTGGGAGCAGGACAGAGCCATGGGCAGCTCATCCAGGGGGCATGAGGGGAGGGGCAGCTCCCTGCCACTGCACGCACCCTTGGGGGAGCACCAGGGGCATGTGCCCCCCCCGCCCCAGATGTGTGTGAAGGGTGAGGGCAGATGACCTGCTGCAGACTCAGGGCCAGGGGCTGCACCAACCTCTTCCCAGTGGGGAAGGCTGAGCTGGGGCTGCGCTCAGAGCAGGCGGGGGCAGGGTGAGCAATGGCAGCGCTGGAAGGGGTGACTACAGGGAATTTTGGGGTGGCTATATACCCCCCAAATCCCCTCCTAGCACCACTCATGCTCTGGGCACTCTGCTCTGCTGCCTTTCCCTCTGGAGCCCTATGCTCCCCCACATCCCTCCCCCACCAACAGACTTACCAGCAGGACACTGCTCTCCAAGCTGCCAGGCTGTGTTCCTGGCCACGTGCATACTGCAGCTGCGCACACGCACACAGCATTTATTGGTGATGTTAATTGGGCAAAAAACACCGATTGCCTATAAATGTTAAGTTTTCCTGTTACCAGTGCTGATCCGATATGCAACTGATATAAAATTGGTGCATCTCTACTTTCTAGTAGCACAATAAGCATCACCTAACCTTTGTTATGTATTTGCTTGGTCTCCCATCCTCTCTCCAGGATGGGAGCGTAGGATCTTGGTTTAACTTTTTTTAAAATCAACATGCTGTTAAGAGTGTATATTGGATAAAGTAATATTGAGATGTACTTTACACATATGGAAGAAGGTTGCATAGAACCCACAGGAGAGGCGTCAAACCCTGTAACCAGCTTAGAGTATTAGTATTATGTATTACTCCTACGCTGGGTGGAGAGTACCATCTCATACAAATGATATGTAAATTGTGGTTTCTGCCTATCCACTTTGTGAAGAGCCAGTCTTTACAAAATTATCTGGGCCAGTGCCCAGCATAAGCTCAGACATTAAATCCCCCATTTCTTTGGACTAGAAAATCATAGTAAGGTCTTTAAAAAAAAATTAGGCTGCTAGCAATAATCCTGTGGTCAAAACAATTCTGCAAAAATAAAATCAGGAGCCAGTTACAGCAAGGGATCAAAATCCTGAAGCAAAATAAGGACGAAGCGAGTGAAAGCAAGTCCAGGAAGGAGATGGAACAAAACAAAAAAGGCTCTGGGTTATGTCAGCTACCACTCATTTTTTGGCTTCAATACCACATGAAATTTGCTACTGACACAACACACTTCCATCTCTCATGCCCGTTTCAAGGGTCACATGGTAGAGGCACTTGAGTTCTGCATTTGGAATCTCTAATTACATTCTTGGTTCTCAAATATGCTGGTATACTGCCAGCTCTTCACTCCTTAAGGACCTGGGCCCAGACTATCATCCTGAATCCCTGTGGCAGTGCTATAATTTTTCCAAAACAATGTCAAGAGTTAGTAGTCACTTGTCACTCTTAAAGCTCACACTAACATTTAAAAAGGAACCCAATAGCAAGTTATTCTAAACATCCCATTGCAAAGCAGAACTAGCAACTATAAACTCTCTCAGAAATAACCATGAAGCAGAAAGCTGCTACCCTGGCCCTAAATGATGTAGTCTTAGCCAACCGTAAATGCAGCACAATCAGAATAGGAAGTCAGATTTCCAAGCTATGCATACCCAAGGCATCCTTACACTGCTTTTTTTTTTTTTTTTTTTTTTTTTGCGGGGGGGGGGGGGGGTAAGGAGGAGGATTGGCTTGATCCTCTTATGTATAAAAAGGACCTAAAAGTCCTCTCATCCCCTTCCCCTAACCTTGCTCATGTTTTAAATTAGCAATTCAATTCCACTCTAATAATCATTAGTGGTAGTGAAATATTAATAGAGTGAATGTTGAATGGCTAAAGAAAGGGGGGAAAAAAAATTGACTCACTGTTTAGAAATGAGTATTGACAACATCTTGGAGAGAGGTCATATTTGAAAAAGAATGAGGATCCTTCTCCTTCAGTTAAGTTTTGAGAGCCAATACTATAGAGTTAGCTCCTGCTCCCCCCCCTCCCCACACAGACCCTTGAAAGGTACCACAAGACCCTTCAAGTTAAAAACTAGCACAAAAATCTATAATTGATCTTTTCATGGCATAGAGCAGCAAAACACATGCACACACAAAAACCTAACTAAAAAACCTAGCAAAAGAATGAAATTGTGGTTAAGGCAAATTATTTTTTTCAGTAAAACTGAATATGTACTATGGGATTTTCCCCATTCATTGTTCAGCTGTATGCGTCTCAATGTGAATCTTAGCAGAAATGGAGTTTACTCTCCCCCAAGTAGTAAAACCACCTCAAACTAACAAAGAAAGCACAGAATTACTATTTTTTAAAACAATTTTTGGAATATGCCTTGAAATGGTGAAGACTGATTACTGTAGCTTTCTTTGAAGAAGAGAGAACAAATGCTGCAACAGCTCCAGTGTACAGCTCAGGAAGGTATTTGCTCTAAGTCATGTTAAGAAAGCGTCCTCTACTGGCAGTAGTACCTTAAAACCAAAAACTCTACTTATGTTTTCTACATTTTTCCATCTCTCAGTAAACAGTCTTTGCGTTCTATTGTGCACAAGCACAAGACTGTAGAACTAATGAATACTTGCAATGTTTGCCATTAAACTTCCATTCCATTTCAGAGATTTATAGGATATTGTTTGCAAAACAAAAAAACCCAACAAGTCTGACTACACTATGCCTTTTAAATGCTGCCAAAAGTTACTTTGATACCTGTTAAGATTCAGGTGGGCAGGTTCCTTAGCAAAATGAGTGCTTAACAGAAGTAGCAAAACATGATCTACAATAGGGGTTTTCAACCTTTTAACAAGTGTACCCCTTCCATCTCAGTTTCAGCTCATGTACCCCTTTATATTAAAATTATTTGGGGGGGCTTAACACACGCAATGTGCATGCATGTCCCACCCCTCAGCAAGTAAGTCTGTAGGGGAGGGGGAAAGGCCGTTGGGGGCAGGTCGAGGTCCCTGCAGTGAGGGAGTGGGGCACAGGCAAGAGCTGGGGTGAGAGTGGGGCTCCAGCCAGGCCAGGTCATGGGACAAAAGTCAGAGCCCAGGCAACTTGTCCAAGGGCAGAGAGGGGCTCCTCCCACTGCACGCACCATGGTGGAGGCCTGGGGGAATACGTCCCTCCACAATCTTTGTGTGGGGCGGAGGCGGCTGCTGCTGTGCACTGGGCTTCGTGTGCCACTGCAGCTGCCCTGGCAGCGTTGCAACGCCATATGCCTGCCGCCACCAGGCTGTGCTGCGCCCCCTGCCCACCCAGCGGCGGGATGCACATGGCATTGTACGGCTCCTAGGGCAGCTGCACCAGTGCGCAGAGCTTGGCGCAGTGGCAGCTGCCTCCACCCAGTGCACAGATCTGGGGGGCATGTGCCCTCTGGGCCTCTGCCAGGGTGCGTGCAGCAGCAGGAGCCCTTCTGTACTTCCCATGACCTTTTTAAGTACTCCTAGGGGTATGCGTTCCCCCAGCTGACAATCACTGATCTACAAGATTCCAATATAAAGTTGCTGTTGTCCACTTGATAGTTTCTTGGTATGAAAAGTTGTGAGGACCTGAATACTCTTCCTCTAATAAGAGGAAACTTTCCCACACTCAGAGGAAATGCATTAAAAAGAATAAAGGTCCATAGTGGGTTTCATATGTGGGAGGCATTGAAAACACTACACCCATAGGTGGCAGCACAAAGCTGTAAGATCTTTAAGCCTCCCTCAGAGAAAGGTTTAGCAAAATACAGCTAAGGACGAGCAAGATTAGATGGAGGACCGGCAAGTAGACAATTATAAATTAAAAAAAAAAAAAGTTTCCTTAAATAAAAGCTGCTGAAGCTATGAATTTGCATCATCATCACTAAGTAATTAATTCAATGAAGTCTCAAGACTTTAAGGCTGTATTTGAATTAAATAAGGATTGAATAAGTTTTTCCATTAGACAAGGGATATATTATTCTCAAATACAATTAAAAAAAAGTCACTGTGCTTGCTTTCCCTAGACCTGAAGAATACTTTGAATTTTAAAGCTTGTCTAACTAACCCAATTACACAGTTAGTCCAATAAAAGAATTCACCCAAAAAATTCTGCTCCTAGAAAATACAACAGCGAGACCAGGATTTTATTTGAGGGTTTTCAAGCAGTTTCAAACAGTTCTTCAAAAGCCAGAGAACTCCAGGTTAAATTGTTATACTTTAAAAGCCAGTCATTAGAAGTTAGTACATGCATTTTTCACATTTCTGGGTATGCTAAAATACACTGTTTATTATTTCCAGGAAAGCATACAGTATATTTAGAGAGACCTGGGAGAGGTACACAAAATACTGAAGGATATTAAAATGACAGTCAGACATGCCTCAGGAACAAAAGAATATTCAATGACATTTCAAGGCAACAAGTAGATAAAAGGGAAATATTGTATCCGTGATAGATAAACTGGGGTCTCAAATACAAAAAAAAATAAAATAAAATAAAATAAAAAAAAAAAATCAGAAGCCTTTGGAACTTCTAATTAAGTTTTATATAATTCTTAGTGATAGAAGTTAAAATATACCTTCATAGTTCAAAAGCACAAGATGACCTGTGTAAAGTGTTACAGGGAAAATACCTTCCCGCAGACAGGTTTTCCAAACGGGGTTTGCTACAGGGATTCTTAGATTATGACCCTCTGAAGAATCTGGTACTGGACACTGTCATATGGAGGTGATCTGATGTGCAATTTCTGTAGTTTTGAGCCAAATGGAATGACCTAGGTAACATTCATATAAAAGGATACCCAGAGTTCCTTCAGCATATTTCATTTCTCTACGTCTTCCCTTCCTTTTGCAAGCAGCAAGCACTTACCTACAGGTGCGTGGAAATCTTGTTCATACCACTACATTTTAGCTTAAATTCAGGCATCTAAATTACTTAAGACTCAAATTATCTAGTCCTAGGACTTGATTTCAGTCCTAAAAGCACCAAACAATGCCTTGTGTGCTATATTCTCTCCGATTAAGTTAAACACTGCTCATCTTTGAGACACAAAACTCTCGTCAAACTATTTTATCTGTCTGGCTTCTGGACTTATTTCCAGCTCCCACCAGCTACATATTTATTTGTTAAAATGCAATGCCCATCAGACTTAAATTAATTTCTTATCAGCCTCTTGCCCAGAAATACTAACTGAAGTATTTCTAGTCATAACTGGATCTTTATTGACCACACTTCAGCTCTTGGCTATGCATCAGGAGGCTGCAAAATACTGGACTCCAGTGCAATTCAATTCACTCTGGGTGTTACTCACCACTAGAGGGCTCTCCTGGTTGATTTCCTTGGGCCAACTTCAGCTTGCATTTGAGTCTATTTCACTTTGCTAAATGACAGTGTGGAATTCTAGACACTTGCTTACTTTCAGTAATGCTTTCATGTCCTCCATTTTTAGCTCTTCGTACTGCTTCAGTTGAAGTAAGAAGCTCTTCAAGTGAGTACTCTTCCTTGTATGTATTTTTTTTGTTTGTTTGTTTTTGGTTTTTTTTTTTTACATACAGAATACAAATAAATACATACAAGGAATAGAGCTCACTTGGAGAGCTTCTCACTTCAACTGAAGCAGTACGAAGAGCTAAAAATGGAGGACATGAAGGCATTACTGAAAGTAAAGTAAGTGTCTAGAAATTATTTTATATACACACATATACATATATACACACACACGTGTGTGTGTGTGTGTGTGTGTGTGTGTGTGTGTGTGTGTGTGTGTGTGTGTGTGTGTGTAAAAATAAAATGGTGGCACCACAAGTCCCCAGTCAAGGATCAGGACCGGAATATACTAGGCACTGTACAAAACACCATCCTATCTAAGGCCCTAGATATTAGGGCTGTGTGAAGCTTCAGTTGCTGATTTGATTCGATTTGGCAGAGATTCAGCAACCAAATCTCCGAATCCAAATTAAATCAGGAGACCCTTTCATCTCTCCAAACCAAATCAGAACCCTCAAAAAAAAAAAAAAAAAAAAAAAAAAATCGATTCCAAAAGATTTGACAATAGACACAGCTTTAAAATGTTTTTTCTACATACCTCAAGGTACCAAGCAGCTCGTGAATGCCAAGATGGTGGAGCAGATGGAGTGTCCCACAGGAGCATGAGGTAGTCCCCAGTGTGCTCGGCAGCAGGCCTCGAAGTAGACCAAAAGTACTTTCGGTCCACTTTCAGGTCTGCCAGGGAGTGCACTGGGGTCCCTCCCCTGGCTCAGCAACTGATGCCTCCTGAGTCTAGGGTACACCTGGGGTCCCCCCGCAGCCGATCGCCAAGCCAGGGGGAGGTGCAGGGGGGGCCCCCCAGTGCACTCGGCAATGGACCCGGAAGTAAGTACTTCCAGTCCACTTCCGGGTTCACCGCCAAGCACGTTGGGGGCATCCCCGCGCTCCTATGGGACGCTCCATCCACCCCACCATCGCAGCATTCACGAGCCACACGTGGTACCTTGAGATATGAAGAAAAAACATTTAAAGTCATGTCTATGGCCGAATCACTGATTCTCCAAATCAGCATCGAATCTTCAGAATTGGATTCAGTGTAATTGAAAAAATAAATAAATAAAAATCGGGGACAGTGATCTGAATCAACAAATCAAATCACTGTCCCCGATTCAGATCTGTCCTGAATCGAATACGGCCCATTTCACACACCCCTACTAGGCATGTTATTTTTGGAGTGCTACAAAAGTTTGTGGCACAGGTAGAGAGATCATTATCTCTAGTGGGTGTGCACACATGCATAGCCCACTAGCTGAATCAAAGGTAGGTTCCCAGCCAGGGAATAATGGGGTGGGGGGCTCCTCCTCAGCTCCCTTCTCCTATGGGGGAGCTTGTCAGTGAGCAAGACAGGCTTATTTACAGGCTTATCCTATCAGCTGTTGCCATTGTAGCAACAGCTGATGGGGCTGCCCACAAGCTACCCATGGGAGCAAGGGTCAGTTGAGTAGTCTCCACCAGTGGGGATAGTTAAAGCACCAGCACAGTTTAAAAATGTTGCTGCAGCTTTCATGTGGGATACTGAGGGTTGGAGACCCATCCACACATTAAATCCATCACAAGATTTTTCCATAACAGCTTTATTATTCAAAACAGCAACTTCTTGCAAATCTGTCAATTTGAAAGGCAGAAGGAGAGAAATCAGCTTTTTTTTTTTTTTTTTTTTTTTTTTTTTAAAGTGGGACAAACAGCATTGATATGTGGACAGTTGCTGTTTAGTGAGACGAAAGCAACAAAACTAACATCTAGGATTTAAGTGCAAGGCAGAAGCAAGAACAGATTTAAAACAGAAAAACAAGCATGGTGCTCTTACCCTTGAAATTTAAAAGGCTTTTCTGCATTCGCTTCATAGGAAGTGATTGATGATGATTTGTCAAACTCACTTCCTTAAAGGCTGTCCCACTGCTCTTTTTTGGTGCCAAGGGCATACTGCCTGCTCACTTTTACTGTAAAAGCTTTATTTCCCCTTCACTTCCAGCAAGAGGATTCTTTGGCAAGGCTACAGGAACAAGTTACCATGAGGGAAGAAAAGTGACTTTACAGCACATCAGCTACATAGTGAACTGATAACTGCCTATGTGCGCTTTACCCACAAGTAGGCACGAGGTAACTCGCTGCTCAGTGAAAGTGGGACACAAGCTACCTCCCACTTATGAGGCAATTGTGCCCATGTATAGGCACAATAAGTTTCCTCCCTGTTTATCTTGTGGTAAAATTAGTCTTAAGCCATATCCTCAATATGGCAAGTAGTTTCCATTTCATTTCTGTACTTTGATGTTATGCGAAGCATCGTCTCACACCTCGCTGGTCTGAGCTCACTTACGTTTTCAGGGTTCCAGATGTCATAAGTTCTGTCACAAGAACAATACATTTCTTTCCCTTCACTGTAGACTCCCAGGAATCATAGAACCGAACAATATTAGGGTGCTGGAGCCCTTTCAGCATCCCAGCTTCTTCTTTAAACCTCTGCCGCTCCGATTTGGACAGCTTCCGGTCCTAGTGAAGAAAAGGAAAAAAAGTTACACACACAAAAACTACAAGAAAGTAGCTAGCCAACAGAAGAGGAAGGCCACATGCCAAAAATATTAAATAAAAATTATCAATCAGGTTATTAGATCAGAGGCAAAATGCATGTGTCCATCCATATGGATTTGCTTAATAATTTGGGAGTACCCAACCATCTTTCAAAGGCTGACTGAGCGTGGTGCCCACCCCCCATCACTGCATGCACTATTTAAGTACAAATATATTCTATACAGTGAGGCTTTTACTGGATATTGATAGTCTATACAGTCTGATTGTTTTATAAAGTTTAACTTCTTATTCACACTCTAAAGCTATTACTCTCCCAATAAAATTGGATTTACAGCTGCTGTTGCATGAGAAATAGGAATCTTAACTGCTTTAAGGTAATTGGGAATCTTTAAAAAAAAAAAAACAAAAACCCCCAAAAAACCCCACACTAAAAATATGTCTTAGAATTTCTTCTGTTTAGTCTTGTTTATGAAAGCTTATGCCTCTTTGAAGCAGCTGGCCTCCAACGTGCTATACTCTGCTCTTCCTTCTGGCCACAGAACCAAACTCCTGACAAACTTGTACAGGATAAGGGAATTGGGATTAGTTTCTCTTCGGCAAAAGAACACTTAATGTGTTTATTACCCAAAAATAAGACTCCTAAAAGCAGAAAAAGAGAAGAAGAATCAGCAGACAGAAAGGATTTGATCTCCATCACATAAGGGCAGTGGCAAAAGCAGAAGCTATTTACCAGACACAGCTTATTCTGTATGCTTAAGTGTTCATAGCACTCCAGCATCTATTTACTGAAGACTAAATGTGCCAAATCTAGATTAATGGATGCCCATGTGGCTAAATCGAATGTTGAAAGCAGTATACATGTTTAAAAAAAAAAAAGAACCATATACACACACCCTAACTTGGAACTGTCCACACGATATAGCACTCTGGATCCCTAGAAAGGGTAAACATTAGTTTCAGGTTTTTGCCAGTAGCTACTCGCAAGTTTTTCAGACTGATATATTAGATTGGAACTGTAGATTCCCAACTAGCCTTGAAAACCAGTCAGTCCTTTTAAAACATTCTCTTATCTCCAATCAACTGTTTGGGTGTACTGCACAAATATGAATTAAAATATTTTTCAAGAATTGATATGATAGTAGTTGGGAGACACCAGACAGAGTACTGGGTTAGGAATTAGGAGAGAACTGTCACTCTCGACTCCGTCACTAATTTACTACACGACCCTGAGCAACTCACTTTACTGTGTCTTCATCTTCCTCCTCCTCCCTCTGGCTTATTTTAAAGAGTATGTGCTATTCAGGGCAGGATATACTCATAAAAATGACTATTCAGTGCTCAAAGATGCCCTGGTCATGGGAGAAGGAGGGCAAACCGAAGCAAGCAACCCCACCCCCCCTTCCCAAGTCTGACTCACCCCTCTTCCTCACAAACCTGATCTCTGCCCAAAAGGCACCCGTGTAACAGCCTTTGTACATAGCCATCTTGCAAAGTCAACAGACTAAAAGAATTTCTAGCAGGGTCAAATGTAGCAATAAGTGTTCATTCCAGAACTTAAGGTTCTTAAAATGCTACTGCATTTTCCCTCCTTGTTACGTTTAGGAGGGCCTGACTGGAAAATATGACCGTTTGCAAGCAACAGATTGCCTCCCCATCCTATTCTATGAAAGCAGGAAGGTCCCAAGCCATTTAAAGCTTTACAGATCAAGCATCAATAGGCAGCCGAACCAGATTGGAACACCAGGATCTCATGCTGCTACTAGACAATGCCTAGACACAACCCACTGCATTCTGCCCTAGTTTAAATTACCAAATTGACCTGAAGCATAGCCCAACATTAAGCACACTTCAGTCAGCGCCACCCAGAGGCAGACAAAGCAAGGTCTGTATTTGAAAAGTAGTATCATTTCTCTGGCTAGATTTGTTAAAAATGTGCTCCTGGACACTACTGCTATATCATCTGACAGCAGCTGGGGATCTAATATAATCCAGATTGAACACTTGTTACTAGTGTCAGCAGCACATCCTTGGGGTTCGAAGGGGGAAGAGAGAAATAGCTTCAGTAAATTCATGAGTTGCTTCTGTCATTTTACTACAACTACCTCACTCATCGGAATCATGCTTCAGTCACCTAGTATTGATCAATACCAAACAGGTTAAGAGAAGAGAAATTTTTCAGAAACCAAGGATTTTTATAGTTTGAACAGACCATCAGTTATTAAAACAATTTCTCACAAGATCTCTCTTACTATGTGAAAGTGAAGTTTAGCTAACTTAATTGCAGGTTTTATTTTTAATTGGAATAGGTAGTATTCATAAATCCTGTATCTTTATACTGTCAAAAAATCCCATCATCTCTGTCAGGGCAATAATTCCTCCTTTTTTGTTACTAGAAAGTGTGTTTTCTCAATACTACTCAGCCATACTAATCTCTCTAAATCAGGGGTATCAAACTCACCCAACCCTGCAGGGCAGATGAGGTGCACAAAGCTGGTCTGCAGGTTAGATCAGGCTCCACGAGCAGCCCTGCATGCCAGATCCAACATGCACCCTGGACCAGCCCTGTGCACTGCATGCAGCGTGTGTACTTGTTTTGGCTCCAGGCACCATATGCAGCATGCTATATGCAATGCACAGCCTAGCCCTGCATATCGCATCTGGTACACAGAGCTGATCTGTGGGCCCAAGACAGACCAGCCTCAGACCCAGCACGTAGGGCCAGTCTAGCACAGCTGCTGCATGCAGCATGTGGGGCTGATCTGAGACCCAGAAGCAGCATCATGGGCTGAGTGACAGGGCTCTGTAGGCACTCCTGTTCTAAACCATCCTCCATTCATTTAGATCTTTAATTGGTTCCAAGAAGTCCATACATCAGTCTCAGGTTCTGGAAGAATTTGAACTATTCCCAGATGGAACACTAATTTAAAAACCACAAAGACTGTTCCTGGTGAAAACTGGAGTTAAATCCATTTTAAAAGTAACTAGTACCTGTCACAACCCAAAGGGTGTGATTTTTGTTTGTGTGTGCTCTTTGGCACCACTGAATTATTTTCCCGCCAATTTGTAGCTTTCTTTGCAGGGTGCATTTCTTGTTGCAGCACAGAAATGCTCGTTGTAAAGAGTCCCCGCCATTCGTATTCTAATTCGAGTCCCATTATTGGCTTGCGTTAAATTATTCACACGTGGCGGCTAGCGATTGGCTTGCTAGCCGTATAAAAGGCTTGGGTGGTTTCCGCCCAAGTTGGAGAACTCCGGGGAGAACCCCTGCAAGGGAGGACTCCACGAACACCAGGAGGAGGAGACTTCACGCTGTGTGAAGATCTCTAAGCGCTGCGGAACCTATCGGACCCAGCACATTTCAAGGCGGCAACAGGGGTCTGATCAGCCTCTAGCCTCTCCCCGTCACTGAGCACAAACCTCGACGTATCCCTCTCCCTGCGTGCAAAAAAAAGGACCCACGGAGCCTAGCAAACTTTGTGTGAGTGAACAAAAGGATCCATGGAGCCTCGACAACTCCGTGGGAGTGATCGAATATTGTCTGAGTCCTCAAACAAGGATTTAAGCAGAGCTGTGCCTGGGAAACTGTCCAGCCTACACCGCGACCATCTTCAGTGTAAGTAAATAATCTTTAAATCAACCATTACGTGTCCGTGCCTAATTCCAGCGTGTCGCCTGTTCTCTCCGACCCAGCGAGCCTGGGCTGCTGGCCACAGCCCGCGCGGCACGAAAAAGGGCCCGGATCGCTCCCCGCCGCTCGCACATGGCGACGAGGATGGGATCTGGAGACAGCCCGCACAATACCAAGTACTGGAGTTGTGCACGCAGTTCAAAACTGACTACTTCGCAAACGTCTCTCTGTAACCTAGTTTAATGAAAGCATTCAAGATCTATTCAGATACTGCACGTGGTTTTTAATCCTGGTCTCATCATCTACCAAGAAATGAAGTGCTAAAATTTAAGCCATAAAAAGGTAGCTTGTGATTTTTCTATCATTTATCTTTTCCTAACTTGTAAAAATCTGCTAACGTTCAATATGGCCAAGAATGACTGCATGGCACTTCCAGTTTCAATCTAGAAGTACAAAAGCAGCAAACATATTTTAGGCACTTGCATAAGCTTTTGGAGTTGAATGTTAGTTCAGACTGCAAGACCAAATTGTCTTAGGAGGCTTAAAAGGACTTCCTTGTGTTCTTTGCAACTCCAACCAGGGTTCTACTATGGAGTTTTGCAAGCACAGTTGTCAGCTAAGGATATCATCTTCTCATACCCAGGGGTGGTCAACCTGTGGCATCCAGCAGGAGAGAAAGGGACGTCAGGTCAGGAAGCAGAAAGCAGATCAGCAGAGCTGAGGAGGGGAAGGGGATTAGAAAGTCACTTGAGGAGGGTGTGGGGCCAATTTGTAGCAATCCTGACAAAAAAAAAAAAAAAAGTTGGCCCCCACTGCTGTAAACAATGCAGCTATGCGGACACCCCCCGCCCCCCCAGCTGTAGTTCGGTAGACAGAAGAGGGCTTTGTTAGTTCAAGTTGTCATTTGGGGAGGTAACCTAACTGCAGTAGCAGGAAAAAAACACAACACACAAAAAACAAAAACAAGAAAGGCCCAACCATAAAAATCAGTGCACACAGCCTTTGCGAGGGGGTCTACAACACAGAAAAATTATGAAGAGTAGTCTTAAGGCTAAGATGGTTAAGACCAGTGGTTGTCAACCTATGTGCGCCTTGCCTACATACATAGCCAAGTAGTTAAAATCCATTTTAGGAAATAAATAAATAAATAAATCAATCAATCTAAAAGCATCCAATAGCCTGTATATTTTTAGTTTTCCACAAGACAGAAAGCATTGTTCTTCCTGAATTGATAACCGCTCCCAAGGACTCGAGTGTCCTATCCCAGTCACAGGGTTGTGCTTTTAGAACAAACTGAAACAGATCCATCAAACCCACTCTGTTCATTTCATTC